AGAAGAGCAGATGCAGTCTCTGTAGCAAAGAAATTAATGACTGACTTGATTCCACGATTTGGCATACCGCTTACATTAGATTCAGATCAGGGACTGCATTTTACTTCTCAAATCCAAAAGGTTCTTAGTAAAGCTTTAGGATTTTCATGGAAATTTCATACACCCTATCGTCCAGCAAGCTCAGGGAAGGTAGAACACATTAACCGAGATATTAAATCAAAATTACAAGGATTTTCATGGAAATTTCATACACCCTATCGTCCAGCAAGCTCAGGGAAGGTAGAACACATTAACCGAGATATTAAATCAAAATTACACAAACTTTGTAAACAAACTGGACTTTCTTGGCCTGACATTCTTCCAATTGTGCTAATGCACCTCAGGAACATGCCTAATAGAAAACATGGACTTACGCCATATGAAATTTTATTTGGTAGACCTATGAACGTGGGTTTAAACCCTATCAAAGAGATTAAAGCAGTAGATCTGTTAGAAGGTCACGAAAGTGTGTTAAGTTATTGCAAAGGACTCATGAAGACTGTCAAAGCTTTATTTCCACAGGTCAGTGCAGCTCTACCCATTCCAACTGATGTTCCCTGCCATGCTTTGAGCCCGGGTGATTGGGTCCTAGTAAAGGAATTTCGCTGAAAAGACTGCCTGCCAACCTAGGTGGAATGGATCCTATCAAGTCTTGCTAACCACTCATGCTGCCATAAAGGTTGATGGAAAGTCTGCCTGGATCTACGCATCTCATTGCAAAAGGACATTAACGCCAACGAAAGAAGAACAAATCAACCCAGAACCAGCCCAGTTGGAATTAGATCCCACTCATACGGAAACTGAGGAAGAAGGTCTCCAAGGAACGAGTGCGGATACCCCTCACCTTGCTGAGCCCCCTCGCAACTATAACCTTCGTCCTAGAAGCCAAGCCAAGAAAAGGTAACTGCTCAGTGCTATTAACACCAAGGTGAACTCAGACAACGAAACCCAGAAGAATTGCCTGCAGAGGCAAGCCAAACAATACTTACCAACATGACTGCTAAGTTTATTATGGCTACAGTGCTACCTAATTTAGCCATATTAGGTGCCCCTAACGCATACCTTGGTCTGCTACAAAAGGTATCAATAGCCCTAAATGTCTCAGATTGCTGGGTGTGTGGTCTTAGTCCTAGGGCTTATAGCAAAGGATTTCTTATGACACCTCGCCCCTTGAGTTTAGAAAATGTAACTGTGCGGTGGGCAGACCCAAATAATGCCACGTGGACTGATGCAAGGTACCTTACGGTGATTCCTTTACAGGGAGAAATGTGTTGGGTACGCAACTACTCCCAACAAAA